TGACCGGTCAGAACCTGAGTCAGATGGAAGGTTAAGAAACGTGGACCTCCTGACTCGATCCAGAAATTTAGGTCAGGAATGAGACAGCGGGTCCATTCAGCTGAAGGGCAAGCATTCCATGAAATCATCAGTAAAGGGATCAATATGGACACAAACAGTGCGGAAATGGATCAGAAATTCCCAGGGGGTACAGCCGGACAACACACACAACACAGCGGTGGACACAGTACGATAAGCACGACAAATACGGATAAGACCGACGCGCTGGGTGGAATGGAGACGGGAAAGGATACAGGCATAATTAACTGCTTCAAACCAAACCGGTGCACCATACAAGACAATCGACTCTACGACGCGATAGTACAATAAGCGACTGGTAAAGCCATAAACACGCAGATTGGGAAGGAGGTAGGACAAACGTTTAGCAACAGCCAACGCCTTAGTGCAAACCCTGTCAATATGATGGCGATAAAGGCAGCTGTTACCAAAAAGAACACCAAGGTAACGAACAAAAGGAGAGTGTTGGAACCATGGACAAAAGATAAACCTTGGGGAACGCGACGACCAGTTAAGAGTATTGCTTCGGTTTTATGAGTGGCTAACACCAAACCTTGAGAAACATACCAGGCATCTAAAATTCTGAGACATTCCTCAGCAAGCGTACGGAGGCGAGAGAGGGATCGAGCAACTATTACGAGAGCCATATCGTCGGCGAAACCAACGGTGATAGCACCTCCAGGAAGTTCAACATCTAACACGCCGTCATAGGCCAATATCCATAGAAGAGGCCCAAGGACAGATCCCTGGGGAACGCCAGCAAACACTGGTATCTCGACCCAAAAACCATCAAGAAGAAATGTGCCCACGCGACGCTCGGAGAGATAGCTACTGAGAATGCGCATAAGGGAAGGAGGAAATCCGCGCGACTCGGCGACGCGAAGAACGTTCTCCCACTTCAGAGTGTTAAATGCGTTCTTCACGTCTAGAGTCACGAGAAGGCAGTGGCAATTGGAGGTGAGGGCACGGTCCCATTCCGCAGTAACCACGCGCATTGCCTGCATGGTGGAGCGATCGGATAAGAAACCAAACTGGCGAGGAGAAAATCCGCCCGAAACACGTACTGCTTCCAGGAGATGTTCGCAAATGTAGTATTCAAAACCCTTACTTAGATGAGGAAGCATGCAAAGGGGGCGAAGATCACTAAACGAGGTGTAAGGTTTACCGGCCTTAGGAATTAAAACTATACGGCCGCTCTTCCAAACGGATGGAAAATAACCATGGGGGAAACACGAATTAAAGAGCTTAGTAAGCCAAGCGAGGGCAGTTTTTCCAACAACGCGCACGACCTCATCTGTCATACCATCAGGACCAGGAGCTTTTTTGGGACTAGTACGGGCCAAGGAATAGGCCACAGTTAAAGGGTCAATCGAACGTCGGAACCGTCCGAAGTTATGTAAGTATTATGGAAAAGGGCAGGAGGCAAAACAATGTCCGAAGTAACAGACAATTCAGACGAAACAGGGTGAGAACAAGAAGGTAAGTCGAGAGCCAAGGCAGACGTAGTTCCGACACCAAACGCAGAGGAAAGGGAAGGTAAGGTAGAATGGGAAACAGGAGCAGGGCTAGGAGCACAGACAAACAGAGCCTGCATAGCAAGGCGAAACTCTTCGCGATTTAGGGACACAGGAGGCTGCGTACCTCGCAGTTTTTTCAGCATGGATTTATAGGGACGATCCCACACGTCGGTTTCAACTTCACCCACCAGCTCCTGAAAACATTCGTTCTTCCGGCGACGCATTAAAGAATTGAAAGATCGACGAGCTAAGAGATAAACCGGGAGGGCAACCTCTGAAGCGAGGGCGGAATCACGAGAAAAGGTTTTTCGATACAAGTTGCGAGCATTGCGCGTCTCACGGCGAAGAACAGTCAATTCCTCGCACCACCAGGGGGCGTCACGGCGTTTCTTACGACGTAAGGGAAGCGCGGGACGAGACGAGTCAAAAAGAGACTGAAAGGCAGCTAGTTCTGCATCGATTTCGACGCGCGAAAATAACTGAGAGGAAGCAGAAAAATCACGGGAACAAAAAGGGGGAGATGACGAGTTACATGCCTCACTGCAGCGTTTCTGGGAGCTTGAAAGCGTTCTAACGACGGCGCCTCTTCACCCTTCCGAGATTCAATGCGAGGAGCATTTCTTGAAGACATACTCGAGAGACGGTACCGGATGGTATGTGGTACGATTACCAATTGCCACACAACAAACCGAGGACGTTGGGATAACAAGATTCACCGCCACCAGGATGCTGTTGGCATCTGAACGTCGCCGAGATCGTGATCCTCGTCTCCGGGAAAAATACGCAGCATTCCTCGACGAGTACCTAAAAATGGGACATATGTAGTCAGTCACCGCGCATTTCGGAGCAATACCGCGCTGGAGTTACCTACTTCACCACGGCGTATGGAAAGGAACAGGCGACGACGCGAAGATTCGCGTGGTTTTCAACGCATCGTGCGTCTCCGGAGGTAGGTCTTTACTTAATTCAGTTCTGTTACCAGGTCCCAAACTGCATAGCGAGTGCATGTGGATTGTCCTCACGCGCTGGAGACTCTTCCAATGTGTTCTATCTGCGGACATTGTTAAAATGTTCCGTCAAATATGCGTACACCCTGAAGATTGCGATTGGCAGCGTATTGTATGGAGGTCATCACCCACCGAGGAAGTACGGGACTTTCGTCTCGCGACGGTCACGTACGGGACCACCCCCGCTCCCTTTCTGGCTCTTCGAGTCTTCCAGCAGCTCGCAGACGATGAGGGCGAATACTTCTCACGAGGCGTGGAAGCTTTGCGACGCCATTCGTACGTAGACGATATCCTGGCTGGAGCTGACAATATCTAGGAAGCTGAGGAAGTCCGACGCCAGCTGGTGGAGCTCCTCACGGCGGGCGGTTTCTCTCTGGATAAGTGGGCGGTCAATTTCGAAACCTCGATGTCTGGCAGGCTTTCTACAGAGAAATTGTTGCAGGTCAATGACACCGTAGGAGCACTCGGACTTCGATGGGATCCCAAGATCGATGTACTCACACTGCAAAGTTCTCGAACAGTCGATGGAGCCCCAAAGGCTTCATGGACGAAGCACGAGGTTGTCTCCGAAACGGCCCATCTTTTCAATCCAATGGGATGGTTCGCTCCGGTGTTCATACGGGCCAAGGTTTTGATCCAAGATCTTTGGCTCGCAGTCCTGGACTGGGATGACCCTTTGACGACGACCATCGATACGAACTGGACCAACTTTCGTAGCGATTTGGAGCGGTTAGAGGCGCTGAAAATCCCCCACTAGACGGGCTCTGCATCCGAAGATGTCTTGGAGCTCCACGCCTTTTGCGATGTGTCCGAACGAGCGTACGCAGCCGCCATTTACTTGCGGGTGCCTCACTCGCGTGCGGCCGCTGACGTACACTTGCTGGTTAGCAAGACGAAGGTCGCACCAACGAATCAGCAGAGTGTGCCTCGGCTCGAGCTTTGCGGGGCTCAACTCTTAGCGCGACTCCTCACCGCAGTTCGGGATAGTCTACAGCCTCGCACCCTTCGATTACATGCATGGACGGATGCTGCCGTCGTCTTAGCGTGGCTCCAAGGATATGCTTCGCAATGGAAGCCCTTCGTCGCCTACTGAGTCGCGGAGATCCACGGGCTTCTTCCAGAAGTGCAGTGGAGACATGTGCGGACATCCAATAACCCCGCAGATTTGGCGACCAGAGGCCTATCATTTAATGAATTAGAAGAAAATCGATTATGGTTGCATGGACCCACTTTTTTGAAGGATTCTCCAGAGCAATGGGAGGAGTCGACAGTAACGATATCTGGAGATGTTCCGGAACAACGTTCCATCACGCTGCACCTATCCGCGACTCGGATGGAGCCCAACGAGCTACTGGAACGATGGTCGTGTTTCTCCCGGCTCGTCCGTGTCACTGCATACCTCCGACGATATATCCACAATTGTCGATCGGCTCTCTCTTGCCGAGGTGGATTTTTGTCCGCGCAGGAGCTCTGTTACGGCCTACCCGCGTAAAGGTAGGTTCCTTCCTTACCACATACCAACGATCCCCCTCCCAGTTTATTGTCAATTTGAGCTTTAGTGGCCACAATGCTGCTCCGCCGCGCCTGAGCTTTCGTTTATATCGGCAGGTGTTCGAGTCTTAGACCCACCACCGCACAAGAGTCGGAGCCCAGTCCAATCAACGGGTTCTAAAGACATCACCTGACTCCATTGCCTGCTGTAAGGAATTTTCTCTAGGTTCCGTAACTGCTATTGAGCTAGAAAGCACCCAACAGACGGGAGGGAACCCCGATCCCCCTCCCAGGTGACGAAGGGCCCTACGTCGTAATCGTACAATTGTAATTTGTTTAATCCGTGGAGTGTCTTGTTCGTTTTAATTATTGTTGTGCATTAAACTGTTAATCTACACGTGTACTCTTTCGTTTCTTTTGAACACTTTCCCTCTCGTTACGTTACTTCTTTCGCTCTTTGCCGAAACATTTTTCGGTCCTTCGAGCCGGATAAATCGCATCTCTCTTCTGTCTACGAAGGAAGTGAAAGAAAACTCTTAGTGAAAGTGTCTCCTTACCGGTACACCGCGTTGCGTTAACGGTTGCAGTTTAAAACTTGAGCGTGCTCGACCTCTGTGAACAGTGACCTTTCACCCGAACAACTCTATTCGTGCGTAAAACAAAACCGTTACCAGTTAAAATATCGACGATTAACAGTCTGATAGATCGCCAGATCGAGCTTTTCTCATCGATAAGTCGTACAATCATCAATTTAAACAAGAAAGGAGAAGCCAACATCATTGAGAAGTATGTCAAATCCCGCTTAGCAGCTCTTCAGAATAACTGGAATTTGTTTCAAATCAATCATTCGAAAATCACGGACCTAAAAACGGAAGCCGTAAAAAATTCATCGTATTTTTCCGAAGATCTTCTTTCGCAATGCGAGGAAATGGTGATCGATAATCAGGCGACTCTGAGTGAGTATTTAGCAAAATTCGAAACTAAATCGAAATTAGCACATAATGAAAATACCAATCCTACGTCATCCGGTAACACCCAGACTCAGCAAACGCGTTTTTTACCTCAATTATTGTTACCTAAATTCTCCGGAATGTACAAGGAGTGGACTCCATTTCGAGATCTTTTTGAGTCGATGGTAGTTAACAACGCAACAATACCAGAAGTTGAAAAGTTTCATTATCTGAAACTAAGTGTTACCGGTGAAGCTGTTCAACTGATAAATAATTTAGTCGTTACCGGAGACAATTTTAAACTGGCATGGCAACTCATTTCAGACCGTTATGAAAACCGCCGCGTCCTTGTCGACGCACAATTAGAATTGTTGTTTTCGCTCAAAAGGTCGTCGCACGAATCTGCCGCCGAGCTAAAACGGTTATACGGCACAACAACAGAAGTCCTTGTCGCACTCAAGGGTTTAAAATGCGACACAAATAACTGAGACCCTTTTATAGAGAAAATGTATCGTCAAATTCGAGTGCATGAAGACGACCAATTAATGCAGTGCATTCTTTGGCGACGCGACACGTCAGCTCCCGTGTGCAACTCGCGGACTCGCGTACGCCCCGTTCCTAGCTCTTCGATGCTTGCGTCAACTCTTGGAAGACAACGGAAAAGCTCTACCTCTCGCTAATTCGATTCTATTAGAAGAAACTTACGTTGACGATATATTATCAGGAGCCCACAGCGTTACGGAAGGGCGAGAGAAAATTCGTCAACTGAACGAGCTTCTTCGCAAGGGTTGTTTTCACCTTCATAAATGGATAGTCAGCTGTAACGATCTTTTGAAACTACCTGTAGAACTTTTCCGTTCAAATGGCAAGCGCGATATAAGCATCAATACTTCGCATCGAGCGTTAGGCCTCGCGTGGAATGTAAACAACGATGCATTTCTGTTTACCTTTTGCTACGACGGTTCTCATCCTATTTCGAAGCGTAGCGTGTTATCGACAATCTCGTAACTGTTCGATCCTCTCGGTTTAATAACAGCAATAATCGTACGAGGCAAAATTATGATGCAGGAGTCGTGGGCGATAAAAATCGGGTGGGATGACCGTCTTCCTTCAGAATTTGCTAAGCAATGGGAAAAGTTTTGTATCAGTCTCCGCGATTTACGTTTAATATCAATCCCATGGTGGAGCGGATTCTCACCTTCACTGCTAACAGTTGAGCTTCACGGGTTTACAGATGCGTCGTCGTTGACTATGGGAGTCGCGATCTATTTACGTACGGTCACTGGCGAAAACGAAGTACGTATTTCGTTAGTAGCAAAAATAAAGGTAGCCCCGATCAAACGCGTCACTATTCCGCGACGCGAGTTAACCTCTGCCGTATTACTTGCTCGTCACATTAAACGTGTTCGTACCGTTTTAAAACTTCACCATGTTCCTGTGCACTTATGTACAGATTCCACGGTAACTCTCGCTTGGATTCGTAGCCATCCATCGCGATGGAAGAAATACGTACACAGTCGCGTTGCCGAAATTCAAACTGTAATTCCGAACGCGTCGTGGCATCATGTCCCAGGAAACGAAAATCCGGCAGACTTAGCATCACGCGACACCACTCCCAACCAACTGCTTCATTCAGACTTGTGGTGGTCGGGTCCCGAATGGCTCAAGCGTCCGCCCCCCGCGTGGCCGACGGAAATTCTCGAACCCGACGATCGGATTAATGAAGAGGTACGATCGGAGAAACGAATCGTTAGGTCGGTACTCGCGAATCAGGAAACGTCTACCAGTTTAATTACGCGCTACTCGTCTCTCACGAAATTGTGTCGCATCACCGCATGGTGCTTCAGAGCGATATCACAATTTCGTTCAAACTCCTCGCGCGCTCAAGTAGCTCCCCGCTTAGGTGTCGGTAAAATCCACAACGCGCGTCTTCATCGGGTCAAAGAAACCCAACACGAATTCTTTCCTGAAGAGATCAAGTCGTTAAAGTCCGGGTCTCCTGTCGCAAAATCTAGCTGCATTAAAAATCTCATGCCGTATTTTGATGAAACCGGTATTCTGCGAGTAGGCGGTCGTTTACATCACGCTCTTCTGCATCATGATCAAAAAAATCCGATCATTCTTCCGCGTGCTTCTCCATTCACCATTCTCGTCATTGATCACGCACACAAGTCAGCATTACACGCGGGGCCACAGTTAACACTCGCGACACTTCGTCAAAACTACTGAATTGTTGGTGGTCGTAGCCCCGTCACATCATTCTTGCACACGGGAGTTGATTATGCCGGACCCTTCCAAATCCGGACACGACGCGGCCGCGGAGGCACCGTGTACAAGGGATACATCGCCCTTTTTGTTTGTTTCGCGACCGGCGCCGTTCATTTAGAACTCGTTTCCGATTACACTTCTAACGCGTTTATTGCGGCTTACAAGCGGTTTAGTGGCCGCTGCGGTATACCTGCCACTATTACTAGCGATTGCGGAACAACTCTAGTCGGGGCGAACAAAGAGCTACGCCGAATGTTTCAGGAAGCGTCGCGCGATGTCAACATCTCAAACGGTCTCGCTAATGACGGCACAGAATGGAAGTTCAACCCACCTTCAGCTCCCCACTTCGGCGGCAAATGGGAGGCAGCAGTCAAATCTGTTAAATTGCATATCCGCCGTGTGGTGGGAGACACTTCGCTGACCTTCGAAGAATTTTCTACTCTCCTCGTTTAGATTGAAGCGGTGTTGAATTCGCGTCCGCTGTGCCCTCTTAGCGATGACCCGTCTGACTTATCGGCGTTAACTTCTGGTCATTTTTTGGTAGGAAGTGCGCTCAAGGCTGTCCCGGAACCTACACTATGTCAACTCCCGATGTCTCGTCTGTCACGATGACAGCTTTTGCATAAATTTACAGAAAACGTTTGAAAGCTCTGGTCGCGAGACTATCTCGCGTCACTTTTACCCGCAAAAAAATGGCAGCAGAGCCGAGAAGCGATTCAGCTTGGCGCTCTAGTATTAAGGGGTAACGCCACTCTAGAAGTCAGAAAAAAAGATGATTTTCGGGAATTTTTAAAGTAATAATCGTACAAGTTATAAGGTCAGAATAAAAAAGGCCTTATTATATATGTTTTGAAGATGGTTTGTAAATTTTTAGAAACAATTTGGATTAAAAATGGCGGCTGTAGGTGCTGGCAAGCAACAACACCATTTTTTGAAAGGGCTATACGGGCGGACTGTTTTTTCATTAACGCATGGTCCTAGGACAAAAAATCAAAAAGTTTCTCATAGTATATACCAAAATCTATGGAACATCATACGGAAATTAAAAAATATTAATAATTGTTAATTTGATGTAGATATGAACAAAAAGTTTCGAAAAACGGCAAAAAATTCAGCATTGAATTGTTAATAAAAAGTTAAGTTAATTAATCAAAAAATCCGTATGATGTTCACTGCGTTATATTATTTTGCACCTCTCCACGAAATTTCAAGTCGATTAGTTAACAACTTTCCGCGTTATTTGTCCGCCCAGTTCAAATAAAGTGATTTCGAGAAAAACGCGTTTAAAGTTTTGATTGCCATTCAGCATAAGAAATTTGTTATATAACTTTAATCAGCGATGCCTGCACCATTTATTTGGCCTTTTATATTAACATATAAGACGAATCCACTTCTTATAATTTGACCGCTTACGTACTTCCTCGATTGTCAGCATATCAGAACAGAACCTCATCTAGCCCAGTCGCGCTTACACATCTCCAAGGGTTGAAACTGGCGGATCCGAATTTCCAATCATTCCGACGCGTAAGCGTTATACTGGGAGCGGGAATATACGCTCAGATTATTCGGTCCGGTTTAATACAAGGTCCCCCAAACACCCCAATAGCTCAGGCAACTTCACTTGGGTGGATATTAACGGGACCCTTACTCGCCCCTCAAAATAACAAGGCCGACTCTCATCAGGCAATATCTTTACAGTGCTCAATAATGGATCCGGACTTAACCGAAACACTCACCAAGTTCTGGAAGCTCGAGGAAGTCCCTTCCAACTCAAATCAGCTCACTAGCGAGGAACAGGCGTGCGAGGATCACTTCCGAAAAACGCATTCTCGAGACTCTTCGGGGAGATACACCGTGTCTCTGCCATTCAAATCTTCACCTTCTCTTCTGGGTGAGAGCAAACGAGCCGCTATCTCTTTCTTCGCGAAGTTAGAAACGCGCTTCAATTCAAATCCATCACTACAAAAAGAATATTGCGATTTCATTAAAGAGTATGAGTCGCTAGGACACATGGAGCGTGTGCCGGATCAAAAAATTCTAAATTCAAACTATTATTTGCCTCATCACGGTGTGTGGCGTCAAACTAGCACGACTACTAAACTTAGAGTCGTGTTTAACGCCTCACACAAAAGCACTTCAGGTCTGTCTTTAAACGACCTGGTACATACTGGTCCAAATCTACTACCGGAAGTTTTTTCTATTTTATTACGCTGGCGCAGACATGCTATAGCTTTCGCGGCGGACATTGAGAAAATGTATCGTCAGATTAGGGTATCCCAAGCAGACTGTGATTTTCAAAAGATCGTTTGGCGAAATTCTCCCGATTCTAAAATCTCTACTTACAAACTCTCAACTGTTACTTACGGCATGGCATGCGCTCCATTTCTGGCTATTCGCACTCTACATCAGTTAAGTACCGACGAAAAGGAGTCTTATCCGCAGGCAGCTTCTTGTCTTTTGCACGACACCTACGTCGATGACGTAGTATCTGGATCCAACACTCTGGAAGAAGCCATTCTCCTTAGTAATCAATTAATTGCGTTATTAAGGGCGGGCGGCTTTAAACTTAGAAAGTGGGTATCTAATAATCCCGATCTTCTAAAAAACTTACCAGCGGATTACCTTGCTTCTTCTTCTAATCTAGTGTGCAACTTTGACTCAGTTTCGAGTCTCCTTGGTTTGAGTTGGAACACTTCCTCGGATTGCTTTATTTTCAGTCCTCAACCTCGAAACCTTACTGGACGCATAACTAAAAGGACAGTTTTTAGTGAAATCTCAGGATTGTTCGACCCACTAGGCCTTCTGGCTCCTGTAGTAATTCTCGCAAAAATCTTTATGCAGTCACTTTGGCTGCTGAGTTTAAATTGGGACGATCCGCTTCCCAACCCTCAAAGGGATTTCTGGGTTCGACTTTCTTACACCGGGTCATTTTTTAATAGGAGGTCCTCTCGTTTCCGTGCCGGAGCCCACTCTAATCGACGAAAAAACTTCGCGACTTTCTCGTTGGCAGCTCGTGCAGCAGATGCGGGATCATTTCTGGCGACGCTGGGCGGCAGAATATCTTAACACTCTTCAGACACGAAGCAAATGGTCTCAGCCTCAACCAAACATGAAGCCTGGAGATCTCTGTCTAATCACGTCGGAAGTCACACCGCCAACCAAATGGCCAGTTGGAAGGATTATAGAGGTCTACCCGGGCTCCGATGGCAAAGTGCGCGTCGTCCTCGTGCGAACCCCGCAAACTACTTTAAAGCGGCCCGTAGCGAAGCTTTGTCTGTTCCCCGAAACGCAAACGAGCGACTAACTATCTGTATTCGTTCGTCATCTCGACGAAGGCGGGCGGTAATGTTAGGAATCGCTATTATCGACTACATAGCACCGATCGGCCGTCGTGGCGCTATGTAGATCGCTGAACCCCCTCTCCTCATAGGTTTAGCTATAAAGCGAGCGGCGAGAACAGAATTGTAACAACTTTTGTAGCAGAGCGAAATATAAGCGAAAATATTAAAAGGGAGCGAGTCTTGATTACAATAAAATCATTCTGGTGCGTGAAGTTCCAACTCCTTTATTCACGGGAGAAGAACAAGAAATAATTCTGCCTTAATATATATGGTTCGCCTACGACCATCACCGGCGTCAATTAAATCATCCCTTTTTTACCATCAAAAACATTGGTCCTTCGAGCCGGATCTTCGTAGTAATTAGAGGTGAGATAATCCCTAAAATACTAATCGTTAATCGGCTTAAATTTCTAACGGGATTAACGGTTGTCCTTGACCGTCAGCGCTCAAAAACAAACACTGCAAGTCACTAACGGTTCACGGTCTATTTTTCTTTTTTCTGGAGTGTCTGAAACAATGGACAAATTCGTTACGAAACAACTTGATCTATTCAAATGAATAAAATCTACAGTAGAAAACATGAAAAAGATGGGAGCGGCGAAAATCACAAAGGGGGTGGTCAGTGCTCGACTGGAACTTCTGGAGAAAAACTGGACAGCCTTTTCTGAAACGCACAACGAGCTCTTAGATGTCTTCTCCAAGGAATCGGATCATTTCTACTTCCAGGAAGACTATATCAGCATCGGGGAAGAAGCATACCTGGCTCAAAAGGCATTTTTACTGGATCTCCAGGAGGAACTTTCTGCCGGTAAGAGCACTCCATCACAAAATCCTACGTCGCTGCGAGCCTTACCAAAAATAGTGCTCCCCGTTTTTGCGGGGGAATACAATAATTGGCCGAATTTCCGGGACCTTTTTCAATCGCTCATCATCGACAACGACTCGCTCTCGCCCGTCGAAAAACTTCATTACCTAAAAACAAGTTTATCTGGTGAACCCGCTCTGCTATTACAAAACATTTCGGTTACCGGTGATAATTTTGAGCGCGCCTGGCGGTCTATTACCGAAAGGTATCAAAATCTACGAGTCCTGATTCACGCCCAGCTCACTTCGTTAACATCTCACGCTACGATGAAGAAGGAGTCCGCACAAGAGTTGAAGGGGTTGGTTGACGGCACTACGGATTCAGTTCAAGCCCTCGAAGCTTTGAAGCGGCCAGTCAAGCATTGGGACGATTGGCTGGTTTTCGTCATCGCTGGAAAATTGGACCCCAAAACCAGGATGGCTTGGGAATCTCACGTCGGGGCATCAACCGAACCTTCTACATTTGAGGAGCTCAGAACCTTCCTCATCTCGCTTGCCTCAATTCGCGTCCTTTAGCGCCTCTTGGGGATAGTACAGATTCTTTCGACTTTCTTACACCGGGTCATTTTTTAATAGGAGGTCCTCTCGTTTCCGTGCCGGAGCCCACTCTAATCGACGAAAAAACTTCGCGACTTTCTCGTTGGCAGCTCGTGCAGCAGATGCGGGATCATTTCTGGCGACGCTGGGCGGCAGAATATCTTAACACTCTTCAGACACGAAGCAAATGGTCTCAGCCTCAACCAAACGTGAAGCCTGGAGATCTCTGTCTAATCACGTCGGAAGTCACACCGCCAACCAAATGGCCAGTTGGAAGGATTATAGAGGTCTACCCGGGCTCCGATGGCAAAGTGCGCGTCGTCCTCGTGCGAACCCCGCAAACTACTTTAAAGCGGCCCGTAGCGAAGCTTTGTCTGTTCCCCGAAACGCAAACGAGCGACTAACTATCTGTATTCGTTCGTCATCTCGACGAAGGCGGGCGGTAATGTTAGGAATCGCTATTATCGACTACATAGCACCGATCGGCCGTCGTAGAGCTATGTAGATCGCTGAACCCCCTCTCCTCATAGGTTTAGCTATGAAGCGAGCGGCGAGAACGGAATTGTAACAACTTTTGTAGCAGAGCGAAATATAAGCGAAAATATTAAAAGGGAGCGAGTCTTGATTACAATAAAATCATTCTGGTGCGTGAAGTTCCAACTCCTTTATTCACGGGAGAAGAACAAGAAATATTTCTGCCTCAATATATATACGGTTCGCCTACGACCATCACCGGCGTCAATTAAATCATCCTTTTTTACCATCAAAAACCACCATCAAGACCCTTTGTCTATTTTTTCAAATTGGGGTCATTGTTTATTAACCTAACTGAATCAGGCCTTTTGCCTTTATCCAGGTACCGTTCTCAACGCTGATTATTGCGCGCGTATCCGTAAGTTACGCTGAGCCTACCACAGAGTGGTTGCTGTCCACTTAAAAAAATTCGTGTTTCCGACCTGCCCCACACTTAAAATTTTTTTCTCATATTCTGCACATAATAAAGCATCATTTAAGCAAAAAAAAAAAAAAAATCGATTTTTTCAAAATTCTAGATTCTACACAAAATAAAGCATCATTTACAAAAAAAAAAAAAAAATCGATTTTTTCAAAATTCTAGAGTGGCGTTGCCCCTTAAATACATTTCAACCTTTTCGGAGGCGGCGCATAATTAAAAATACCTCAGTAAACGTTGCTGCCAATAACCAGTTGATTGTGGTATGGCGTATTGGAAATTAATAAATCCTGAGAAAGAATACGAACCATTAAGGGGGGCAATACCTTTAGAATCTTAAAAAATTGAAAATTTTTTTTTCCATAAAATGTTAGTGCAACATCTTAAAAATATGGTCTCCAAATTTTAAACCGAAATACCGAACCCTTTTGAAGTTATGGCCGATTAGCGCCACGAGTATTCACGCGTTAAGTGCAGAGAACTGAAACTTTAAACGCGTTTTTTTCAAAACTACATTTTTAGAATTGGTGTGGCTGATAACTCAAAAACTAGTCTATTAATCGCGCTCAAATTTTTTGCACATATCCATGACAATAGTATCTAACATATGAACCTAAATGTATGAAATTAATTGAACATTAAAGTCCTTTTTTATTGCAAAATATTGCAAAAATTTGTAGTAAAATTCAAAGTTTTTCTTTAAAAGCGCGCCATTTCTTTAATTTTACACATTTTGCACATTTCTGAGGTTCATCTACTAGCTGTGAATGTTAGTTTTCGAAACATTGTCTGCAAACTTGTTTCAGACCAATGGATCTAAGGCTAGAACGCACACGGATTCACGAGACGCGCCAAACACTTCCAGGAAGGACTGTTATAATTCCGCCATTTTTAAATGTATTTAAAAACAAAAAATATTGTGTAATAGGCAATAGTTATAATAAATTATACATGAAATTTCAAAAACGAAAAACAAAGATATCCTATACAAAAAAATTCACAAAAATCAGCTTATTTTCATCGGTCTAAAGGTACTGCCCCCCTTAAGTCGGTTAAAAAACCCATTGGGTATGTTAATACAGTATTGATTCGTAACAAGCAACTCGCTCGGGTCTGGCTGAATCAGGTATATTTTCGGCTTGCCTTTGTTCCCAAGCGCGACGACGGCGATAACGTAGATAAAAAAACAGGGGGTTGGGTGTAGCGGTATACTATAAAGTAATTGGACGAGCAACGCTGTTATTCTTTAGACAAGAACAGAACATAGCATGCTTTCCCTTTTTAATAGTAGTAAAATTTTGTGAATGGAATAATATACCGGATTAGTAACAAGCAACTGCCCAAACCTGAGCGAATGGCTTATTACGAATCGATATAGAATCAGATGAATCGAACACGCTGCAATTCCTAATTTGTCACACTTTGCCTTATTTTTTTACAATTATGTGAATATTAACATATACCTACATAGCAGTTTAAGAAATATTGATGTCAAAAAATAGTAGGTCATCGCCATTACTGCGACAATAAAGCAATTCGGAAAAAATTATGGTTGAACGAGCAGCTAGTTTTATGACCATTTCATTGTACATAGTTCATATAGTATTATATATTGTATATAGTGTATTATACTTACATAATTTTTCCTTCAACTTTTTTTTATTTTTGTTAAAAAAATTAATTAAAATTATAGATAAAAATGTACCTCAAATTATTGTTCACTGTCAACCATTAGATTTAAAAAAAAATGTCATATTACGACAGAATCGCTATGTATCAGAATGAGAAAACAATATAATGTACCGGATTCGTAACAAGCAACTGGCCAGATCCGAGCGAGTGGCTTATTACGAATCAATGTAGAATTAATTGAATGAGCGACAGAATCGCTATGCATCAGAGTGAGAAAACAATATATGTGTTCTGTCGTCTTTCCACTAAACTGTTCGGTCAACTGTTCGGGAAAATTTACGACTTCTTCGGTTTCACGGACCTCCCACTCTTTCTCGAATCTCTCATTTAGCGGTCGACTTCAAATAAAGAAGAGGGGATAGAAATTTGCTTGTTACAAATCACAAAACTGTTACGAATCAATACTGTATACCATATATAATAACGGAAAATTTTTTTTCCTTTTTAATTTTCAGACAACTCCAAACTTGGGCGTTATTTTAGGTTTTGTAATTTTTTAACTTGTGATGCGTAGCATGAGGTGGATGTTTTGGATGTGCGTGTAAAATGTGTGACAATGGGTGTGTGGATCTGGCACGTGTGTATCAATCGTCTTTCCTGTGATATTAGGCTATTAGATACAGGGGAATGGTTTTTTATCGAATAACCAAACCTAACTCCCCCATGAAGGTGGGGCTGCCTGCGTCCCCACAGGTGTGCGTACCTTGCATGGGGGCAATTGCCGTAGCCCGTCCCAAGCCGGGTTGAGAAAAGTAGAGGGGCCTAACCGTACCTAACTACGATGCCTTCGTCGAGATAAAGGCATCACTTTCCCTTTAAACTCCCCAGCGTAAGATACTTTATTGATAAGGACGCCTCATTATCTCGTGTCAAGTCCATTTCGTAAATAAATAGAAACGAACGTATTGACAACAATTTCTTTTTATGTAAAATTACTATCACGGCTATGATGATAATAATTATCATCTTCCATTTTATGATAATAACAATTTTCTGGTTTACTTATTCAGCGTACTTCTGTGTAAAGTATGTGCGTTTCACTAATTTCATAATATATTCTATTAATATCATACATCCGTAACGAAACCTTAAAATTTCACATCAAACACAATGTTATAACGAAATGTAAGTTTACCAACTTCTGTCACGTTTACCGGACTTTGTAACTTTCCACTGACACTTGTTTGCTGTTGGATACGTCTACTCTCTTCGGAGGAAGTAATCTGACTAGAGGTGATCGAACAATATCCTCCCTCGTAGACTTACTTCGTAGAAATATAAAATATAAACATTATTCGAAAAAGTTTCTTTTCTTACGATTTTTTGCACCCGATAATTTTTTAATATCTCACCATATCAAGTCGGGCTATAGTTATCGATCGATTTACTCGCACCCTTCCTAAATATGAATAAGTAATTATAGAATTGTAGAATCTGTCAATCATTTTGTTCCAGTAAGAAATTTCTTGCAACATTTTATCAAAATATTCTTTGAAAATGTGATGTTCTTGGAGAGCTAAAGAAAACAAAGGGTGCATAAGTAACTGGGAAATCAGTTCCGCTTAAGCACACACAAACGATGGTTGAATTTAACGGCTGCAACAAACTCAGTATCTTTCTTTTATCCGTGATAGGACTTTGGCCGTATGGAAGCGAAAAGATTCGACATTTTAGAAACATTTTTATCAGCGTTAACCTTTGGTACTGCATAGTCATACAGGTATGGTTTATCGGTTTTATTTAATTAATTTATATGTTCATAAAAGTTTTCTGCTGCAATGGAATAAGGCAATTGTATTCATTAGTAACCAATTGCTTATTTCATTCTTTTCTGAATGTTATTTACAATAACTGCAAAGCTACAAGTAATTTAGAAAAAGCAAATGCAAATTTTGATAAGATAAGTCAATAACTACTTTCGTACTTCTCAGATCACTAGTTTCGTAAAAAGGTGCCTGAATTTATCATATTCTTATGAAATTAAGAGAAAAGAGATATTTAGCAGTACGATAACAGGAAATGATTTATTTTTATTATAGTTATGAAATAAAGACCTGGCTAGTCCAAGCTTACTTTTTTCTTGGCAATTTCACGCTAAATATGTAATGTGGCGTTTGAAATAACATTCGGAAACATGGTAGAACCAAAATTTAGTTATTACTATCTTATGCAGAAGTCTGTATATGTCAGTAACGAATAACTATTTTTAAATAACCAGATTTGTTATGTATCCGATAAGGAAATCATTTACCTTATTTATACTCAAACAGACAAATCTGTATGTGTATCCATCGTGCACTCATACTTTTAGATAACTCCAAATTTCGGTAAGTAATCGTTTTTATTAAAGTATTTACGAATGTTATTTGCTACGTGAGATCAATATTTCATGCAACGATGTCACACAATTCTCATTTTTCCGTTTTATTACAAATCAATTGTATGCAAATATTGCATTTTTGACTAAGCTCAGGTAACAATTAACAGTATAATCAATTTATTTAGATTCGAGCTATTGTCACTATGGAAATGACGTTGCATCGTGTATTAAGGAACGTGACGTTTTTGACTGTGACTATGTCTTCGCTTATAAAATATCATATACATTGGTATCAAGCCAATAGAGTAAGTTACAATATAAAGCAGTAAGTTATAAATACATGTAAAAGTCACATACATGTAAATACATGCAAAGGTAAAATGCAGATAAAAGGACTTATAAATCAAATTAAATTCCACTTCCAAACAAAGAACGAAGCGATGCTTCAAATTATGCAGAAACATAACTATTTAGGAAAGCAGCTGTCAACAATTCTTGCATGTAAGTAAGAATTGTAAGGTTGTGACGTGGAAAATTCAGAAATAAACACGCCATGCGCCTTACAGCATTTATTTACTCGATGGGGTGCATACTGATAATATACCATCTTTCGCCTATTATTTTGGATAAAATTGTACCTCTCAATGAATCACGTTCACTAAAGTATCCAGTGGATGGGGAATATTTGTTCAACAAAGAGAGACATCCTATTTTCGCTACTATCGTTTACTTTTTCTGGATAGCAATATTTGGAGCTATATTTCTTGGAACAGAATCATTAACGATGACGATCTGCCTACATGCTGCGAGCTTATTTGAAGTTACTAGGTAATGTTGTGTATAGTTATGTAATATAAACATAATTCACAATTAAATATGTATATATTGCTTATGTATGCAATATTCCATTTAAAGTGTTACCAACCTCGATTTTTGAATCGGTTAAAAGGTATTGCAAAGAAATGATTAATTGTAAAAATGTCTTCAAGGTGTTTGCACGTCATACATGATAGCAAGACACTGTTTGTAACTGAATGGATCGTGTACCACTACTGTTGAGTATTATATCGCTTATATAATTGAGTTGTTTACAATTAATTTTCAGTTACTATTTTCAAACAGCTGTTTCTGCTGAAGTAACTGACACTACTACTCCACGCAAACATATAAATAATAAGAATATGAGTTACTTAATTAAAAGTGTGATCATGCATAGAGAAGCAATTCTGTGAGTATATTTTCATATCTACGTTAACAAGTTCTAACAGTTTTAGTACATTATGCAATTTACACAAAATAAGTAGAATTTGAATTTTAAATATTGAAAGCATTTTAATTTTAAATTGCACCAAGTAATTTATATATGTATATACATATGTATATTATTTAAACATCGATACTATTGGTTTTGAAGGTTTTGCAATGAATATGATAACTACATTAAGTTATCGTATACACCTCTAATAATATTGGCGATAATTTCTCTGAGTATAAATTTATTTGTAAGTAATTTATGTTTGTATTATCCGGAACGAATGACAAACTTTGTACAAATAAGAATTATAGGATCACTAAACTTTGTTATTTATTTCAGCTGTCTCAATCTATGCTCCATTCTGCAAATATCGGAGATTTACTACTCTTCTTAATGTTAGTCGTAGGAGAAGTGCAATATATGTTTTTGACCAATTTTGCAGTACAGTTTGCGATCGATGGTGCTACTAACATATCCATATACATGTATATATTTTGGCGTATTATGTATACAGAATGTTTCACCACAATATGTTAGATATTCTATGAAAAATAATTGAAACTATATTGTTCTTCCAACTTTTATCATGAATTTTATCAGTGCTAAATCTGTTACTGTTCATATTTTCAAATGATTCATTCATTTCATTGTGACAGAGAACAGTACATTAGATTTAAATTCTAATATAGGACCTTTGAGCGTATTCCGTAGCAGGTCGAGTTTTCATATACACCCCACGCTTTATGATTAGGTACTGTCTCTTCAGACACGTGGTTGACAATTTATAATACAATAGTACAATGACTATAATTATGAAGGAAAGGTTGAAAAGTTTAAATTGCATAAACATCTTAACAAAGTAATAAATTTAATTTTCAAGGAACTGTTTTAACAAATGCGTGCTTGTATCTTTACAACGTTCTACAATAAAAATTCTAAAGGATTACAACAAACAGTTTTAGCTACAGCGTATGCACAATGTCATGGTGGCACGAAACGCATTAATTGGTTTTTCATTATTTCGTTAAGCCCGCAGACATAATATTATTTGTAATTTGATAAACTACTATTTTTATTTTAATTTAGAAGGTTTCACAAAGTTTAGACTTCACGTTGATATATAAAATACTAAGTGAATTACACTTTGAAATGAACCGTTATGATTTTTAATAATTTATCACAGTGAAGTGATTAAATACGTATTCCTTGATATTCACAGATATAATACCAGCTGGTACGAAACATCTATAGCCACGCAGAAATTGCTGCAGATGGTCATACTAAAAAGCAATCAAGGCTATTCTTTCACATTTTATAATATGTTTTATGCATCACTGCGAGGCTTTTCGGTGGTATGTTATTCTAAATTCTACTAAAAAATTACTCATCTCTTAAAATGATGTTTTAATAGATATTTTCATATTTCAGCTATTTCAAACATCGATATCCTACTTTACGGTATTGATATCTTTAAAATAATATACGTCTAATTACACAGCGTTGATTCTGTAGTATGTCCAATTCCGTCATGTCATGTACAGGATGTCTCATAACTGGTGTAACTCCCGGAAAGGGGTGGTAGAGGGCGTAATTCTGAACAAGATATCCCTTTGCAAAAATGGGCTTTGAAGCCTCGTTCCTAAATTATTAAGCAAAAACACGGACCAATCACAGCGAGAGGATTATGCGCGCCCAGAAGCGAGAGCGAAATGTTCGAGTGCCTATGCGCCGAGACAGGGTAAACATTTAATATGAAGCACTTATGTTAAATCTAAGTTAAATAATGAACAGAACAGTTGCAAATAATGTTCACATATTCGTTTGTCACGAATAAGGAACAGAATTAGTTATTTGTAATTAACAGAAGTCGAAATTAAATTTCTGTAACTCTAATTTTACAAAAAACTTACATACCATTAAAATAAGACTCACCAATTGTATAAAAATAATCCTGCTTGATTAAAAATGGATCCTCGTAACTAGATCGTTCTATCGACCGTAACTATTCGTAAAAATAATACGCAGCTTCACTTCACTGTCATTTTTGGTTATCACTTTTCACTGTAATATCTTTTTGCCATTTTTCGCTAGTTTCCTAACATAATAACGATGGATAAACAAGCAGAGACGCGTGAACGATTATCCGAAAATAATTTGTGATTTTTTTCTCTTTAACGTTTCGTTTCGAAATAACTAAAATATTTCGAGCGTAGAGAAAGCGAGAGTTTTGGACAAAATCTTTGACCGTTCGGACCGTCAAGTCAAAGAATCATAAAACAATTAAACGGCTCCGTTTTGCTCGCTGGACGGTCGCTCCGTAGGCATCCAAGAAAACCATTGTCCCTTTTCCTTTCTAAAAGGCAAAAATTGTTTACGCCTTTTTCTAAAGAAAAGCATATTTTCACTTGCGTTCAATTGTCAACCGTCTTTGCTGCAAGGGACTGCTGTCTAAATTTTCCGTCGAAGATCGTCGCGTCGCGTTCGGCAGTTTAAAATAGATCATAAGATGTTCAACATTAAAGAGAAAATAAAAAGTCGCTAAAATTATTTATGAATAGTGTTTACGCGTTTTCGTTCGCATTTTTTATCTGTGGTTATTTCATTAGAAAATTAGTGAACAGTAGCAGCAGAATATTACAGTTAAAAATGATAATTAGAAGTGACAGTGAAGTGAAATGAGTTTACTGATCAAGCTGTGACATCAAATATTGTGCAGTGTGTCTTTCTGTGAAAGATTAGGTTCGATGATGTCACGAAAACACAATTTTACTGGAACAGGATCATTTTTAAACAATAGGTGAGTCTGATTACAATTTGCTTATCATGTATTCACGAAGAATGAATAAATGAACACTACTTTTAATTATTCAGTTCGTTATTCAACTGAGTTTTGTTATAAAGACTTCTTATTAGAATTTTTTACTATTCCGAGGCAAAGACGTTTGGTCACGTTCATGTTCAGCCGCTAGACTCGAAACTGTCGCTTCTGTTTCTGGGCGCGCGTAATTCCCGCCCTCTGATAAGTTCATGTTTTTGCTTAATAATTCAAAAACGAAGCTTTAAATCCTATTTTTGCAAAGGGGAATCCTATTCAGAATCACGTCAGCTATGCCCCCATTTCAGGGACCTACACTAATTGTGAGACACCCTGTATAATAATAAATCATATTTTAGAAATACTAAAGCATGAAATATATCGTTAAAAAATGTCCGAGTCATAGCGTAAAAAAGTAGAATTAAATATAAGAACTATTTGTAATCGTAAAATAAAAGTTAATGCATATTCTCGTAATATAATCACCTTGTTCAGGTCAAGACGGCAATAATAAGAGTGCCCGAAAAGGACACTTCTAGTCTTAGGACCTCCTTCACAGTCTAGCCTGCGAACTGTTTATAATTTTTACGATTCCCTTCAAGGGTCATTGATAAACATCGATGGTCAACATTCAACTTTCTAATATACGAAATGTTAACTATCAAATTTTTTTACAATATGTAACTTTAATCAAGCTGACTGTACAGAATAATATAGAAAATAACAAAAATAAACCTTCTTTTATTAAGATGGATTAAAAGAAAAATTCAGTCTTACGCACATTCGGAATTTTGCAGAGGGTTTAATATTACATATTCGATCTGCTCTTACGACCGATCGCGATTAATTAAATTTAGCTGTCGTCTGTTAAGGGAGGTTGAACATTTAAAATAAAACAAAGCACAGAAATTTTAAAAAGACTAAAGAAATTTATTATTTAAGAAAGAAAAACGACTTGAATCTTTTTAAAATTTGTTAATTAAATTTGATTTATGAACATTGGAAAAGCAATTCTACATAACCCATTATATTTGTATACGTGTGAAAAATTATTATCAGAAAAACAGTAACGAAGAAACGTATAGATTTTATTTTTTTAACACACGAAGGTCCGATCAAAATCAAGCAGCATCTTATAAGTAATCGATTGACAGTCCTTGTAATCAGTCCAGGTTCGAAGCAGTCTCAGGAGGTTATTTTTGTCGGCAGCGATCAACCGGTTGAGAATTCTGACGTGGATAAGAACATCATTAACTTTTTTATTTTTTTTGGGATCGAAACCACCGCCGAGTTGGGGTTCCTCAGCCCGGGGGGTGGAGCACTCGCCTTTCGGCGTTAGGTGGCCGGTAGGGGAAATACAGGTTAGGTACGGTTAGGCCCCTCTACTTTTCTCAACACGGCTTGGGACGGGCTACGGCAGTTGCCCCCAAGAATGGTACGCTCACCTGTGGGAGTGCAGGTGGCCTCATCTTCCAGAGGGAGTTAGGTCAGATTTATAAAAAAAATCCCGATTCTGTTAGTTATTAAATTCCTGTCAGAAAATAAAAATTTTTTATTTTAAAACAGTTAAATACAGCACATTACATAAAACCCTCTATAATCGTCATGCGCATGCACACTCATTACGCTCACACACTCACACACACTTAGTTCCACCTATATTTACCCACAGTGTTACACATCCATAACCTCCTTCCAACTCAGGGTCATTTCTTTCCCCTTGCCGGAAGTCGTCCTTAAAGTTAAGACTTAACTGACTAAAGTGTTACAGAGTCACTTATATCTATAGACATCATTAATGACCGCACTGTTTATACTTAATTGTAAACTGCACGTAATTCATTATTACTTTTAACAAAGTCTTCTATTTGTACTTATACAGTATTCTCTCCGTAAATGTTAAAATTGTATCCCCCCACTGGGGGGATCCCCCTCGAAATCAGTCAAGAATGAAACACGATCGGTCGCCGAAACGACAAGGATCGAATATCGGTGAGACACATACTAATGCAAGCAAAGGAAAAGATTGTAACTTTCTTATTTCTTACTATTTTTTCATGAAACTTTTACTGTTGTATTTATCTAGGTTTCCTGATTAAAATGACACCAAACATTATATAATTACGTTAACAATTGCGTGTGTAACGAGTGATTAAAGTTTTTAACATAAAAGAGGACGGCAAATGGTAAAGAAAGAGAAGCAGAAGATTGACGCGTTCGACAAACATGAAACACTCGTGCGTCTTCTGTCTTTTAAATTCAAAATTCAAAATTTTTTATTTTTAGGGTTTCATCAATGAAGCTTCGATTATCGTCTTCGTCTCATTTTTCTGATTAAAATGGTAGCAAACACGGTATAATTAAAATCATAATTACTTATATAGCAAGCCTTTAGTAGGAATTCGCACCTCTACCGTAAATGTTACATCGCAAACTTTTATGGCTTGTTACATAAGTAATTACGATCGTAATCATATCGCGTTTGGTATTATTTTAATCAGAAAAACGAGACAAATACGATGGTAAAAGTTCCATTGACGAAAAACCAAAAATAAAGAATTTTAATTTTTAAATTTAAAAGACAGAACACGCACGAGTCTTTCATGTTTACCGAACGCTCAAAACTCTATCCCTCCTTGTCTTTTGTATCGCTATCTCTTTCTACGTTCGGCACACAACAAAGAATATAGAACCTCTACCGTAAATGTTACAATCGAGACCGGCAAAAGTAACATTTACGGAGAGAATACTGTATGCTGCATCCATTCTTTTACCCCACAATCTCCCTCCACTTCTACCAGGATCCTCCCTCCCCTGGCTAGTCTCATTAACTTGATACTTATCCCCTTGGACGAGCCTACCGCTTTTTTAAAATTATTTATGTCTTTAACCCCCTCCTTACGTTGTATTTAACATAAACAGCATTACCTCTGTGTCTTCTTATCTTTATTCCTGCCTCCTTACCTTCATTTAACGGCTCTACTCCTTACCTCTCTTGTTTTTTCCTTTCCTCTATCCTGTTTCCTTGCACGCTGTGTGTCGATTGTAACGCCGCTACCAAGACACTCCTTTCTGTAACATTTCCTAATAATGAGTCGGGTAGTAGTACCCGTTCTCCGTCTGTACACCGATTGACCTCACTTCCTGTCTCAGCCTAGAGTTTGTATCTTCACTAATCCTTGTTTCCTCTTCTGAAATTCTTTGCTCCTGTCTAAAAGACGAATTCCTTACCTTACTGGGCTGCGCCGTTGTCCATGGTAGATTCATGTTGTCTTTCCGCTTCTCCAGAATGTTCCTCATTTTTTTGATCTCCCTAGTTATCGGGCTCATATCCTGATCGTTGCTGATTAGACCCGTATCTCATATTACCCCTTTTCTATTTGGGATCGCAGTACAGTTCCGGCCGATGTGCTCCTCCACAATTGTAACACACCCCTTTCTCTAATTTACACGAACACGATAGGTGTGTTCTCGAGCCGCACTTGTAGCACTTTCTATTGTCGATGTATTCGGTTATTCTACACATTGTCCAACCTAACCTTAACCTTTCCTTTTTAAGGAGTTCCTCAGCCACGTCGGTCTGGAACTCCAAGCATGCATTGTTGTTGCCCCTCATAGATTTCCTATAAGAGATCACCCTGATATCTTCTATTTTATATGCATCCTTAATCATCTCTCTCAAATCCTCCTCCTGTATATGCATATCGATTCCTGTTATCATTAGTTTCTTCCTTTTCCCTATCACGGCATCTACCTCGTAGCCTGCCCCCTAATCCTTTCTTTGAGGTTATGTAAGTCCCCCATTCTTACCACGTAAAAGTGTAATTCT